TAAAATTGTTTATATAACAAGAGGGAGTGACGGCCGCAAGCCCATGAAAGTAGACATTGATTGTTTGCCCACTTTTTACATTCTCTGCTTTCCAGCACCTGGCACTGCAGTTATGCTGGAATTGTCAGGTGTAGTAATCTCCTGCCCCACAGTGACTGCATGGCCAAAAGAAGGGCAGAGCAGAAGTGTGGAAGTATGTGATGAGGAAACTAATCACTAAACACCAGTACACACATAGGACATAGACTTCTCTCCACTGACATCAATGATATGGGGTTTATTTTGTTCCTACTGACTTTAAAAATGGTGTCAGTGCATTTAAAATAAGGGCTTTCATTGGTGTCCGTGGGATTAAATAAATGCTGTGGTTGGTGTGTGTGTGTGTGTGTGTGTGTGTGTGTGTGTGAGCAATATACCAGCTATGGAGCTTATTTTACTTCTATTGATACCAACAAAGGGACATACTTTCAACCCTTTGACTTATTTTTACACTCACTGGAGCCAAGAATTGGGTATATTTTACTCACACTGAGAATGGGGATGGGACTTTTTTATTGACACCAATGATGAGACTAATTTTACTCCCAATTTTTCTACAGTATAGGTCAAGGTGTTATTTTTTCTGAAATAAGGCAATGGATAGGATGAAAGGTGTGACACTACAAGTCATACACCCTGAAGCGACACCCACTTTATTGGCCACACTCATTTCCCATGTCCTCATGTGTCCTTTGGGTGGCGCCGCTTGTAAAGTTTTTTTCTCCTTGGATTTTTCAGTGACCCTACTGATTATTTTCAAATGTTCAAAAAAATCCTTAACAGTGTACAGGGAGGGCTTAAAATATAATGCAGTTCTTTTTCACTTACGAAAAAGAAAGTGTTAATAGGACATTTTGTGGCATTTATTGAATTTGCTGTTTTTCACCACAGCTTAGCATAACAGATAAACAAGCCTTTTCAGATTGGAAAGAGAACAAATTTCTAAATGAGATATTGATTTTTTGCATGTCTTGATTTTGTCTTTTTCATGTTTCTTAAAAGATAACTCTAATTTAAAAGCCCTATTCTTGCCCAAAACCGACAACACCTGCATCGTTTTACCATGCCTTCTTGTTTTTTGAAGGAAATATTATAATTTTCAGTTTTGGCAATGTCTAATTTACATACATATATATATAAAAACATTTTAATGCTGATGTCTTTTATTAAATTATTTAAAAGATGGATATATACTGCAATTTTAATCTGAAAAAGGCATAGTGGAAACTAAATAGACATCTGAAAATTGGTATAATTAAGGAAACGCTGGTTAAATCAATGAAGGGTTCTTCATGGGTAAATCTAAACTTTTTTTTACTGAATTTGCAGTTCTTGCAAGTATAAAAGAACAGAATATTTTCCTTGAGTGAAAAACTGTGTGTTATCTACTGATCAGAATAGAAATATACTGTATATCATTCATGATTCATTTAAAAAAAAATTAGTTATGTCAGGCTTATCAGGCAGTTTAAGGGAAAAATTCAGTTTCAAAAGAAACTTCACATTTTTTAATGTATATATTGCCCACATTTGAACTCTGTGCTTGATTGAAGTTTAACTAACATGTTGTACTGTTCCACACCATAGATGTATTCTGGAGGGATGAGCCCCTCTTACTTACTGTAAAAGAGAAGAATCAGAAGCAGATGAAGTAGTTTTGTGATTTCCCATTTGCTGAGCAGTTCCAATCGCTTTATTTTCTATTTCCCACATTATCTCTCAATTTGAATTGACATAGACTACATGCTTTCTCAACAAATTATTAAGGACATATAGGTCTTTGCAACTCAAATAGATATATATTTTTACTTTTAAATGCTCAAAAGCAATTTACTTGTCTGCGTTTTACCCATGCAAAGCAACAGGTTCCCCGAAATGCCAGCCCTCCCTCTAATTATACTCACCTTCCCTTTTCCCAGGAGTGAAAAAAAGAATATCAATGTAAACTCCAAGTCACTCTGTTTGAAGCTGGCATGGAACTAAGGGCTTCTCAGCCAATAAACATTGCATAGTGGATGGAAGGGCAAAGAATTACATGCATCTCATACCCTGAAGTACTGGTTATTTTTCTTCCCTGTAAGCAGCCAAACAGAGTGTAGGGTTAGTATATGAGGTTGTGGGGGAGCAAAACACATGTTCAATTTTAAACTGTTACTGGTTAACCAGTTGCCTACTGGGCACTCTTATTCCCTTCGTGCCCAGGCCAATTTTCAGATTACAGTGCTTTCGCACTTTGAATGACAATTGCGCAGTCATGCAACATTGTACCCATATGAAATTTTTATCAAGTTTTTCACACAAATAGAGCTTTCTTTTGGTGGTGTTCACACTGGGTGTTTTATTTTTTGAACTATAAATAAAAAAGAGCAATAAATTAGAAAACAAAATTTCCTTTGTTTCTATTATAAAATTTTGCAAACAGGTAATTTTTCTCCTTCACTGATGTGCGTTGATGAGGCCGCACTGATAGACAGCACTAATGGACACTGATAGGCAGAAATGATGGGCACTGATGAGGTGGTATGGATAGGCAGCACTAATGAGCACCAATAGGCTGCACTGATGAGGTGGCATTGATGAGATGGCAATGGTAAGCATTGATAAGTAGGCACTGATGATGCTGCACTGTTATGCATCAATGATGGGCATTGATAGATGGCACTGATGGGCACTGACTGACAGCACAGACTGGCGGCATTGACGTATGTGCTGACTGGCGGCACTGCTGGGCACCGATGGTCAACACTGCTGAACACTGATGGGCGCAACTGCTAGGCAGCACTGATGGGGGGCACTGCTGGGAGGCACTGCTGGGCACTAATAATCAGGGCACTGATCATCAGTGCCCTGATGATCGGTGCAGATTTCATCTGTGTCGTTTGACGGTTATCGGCAGTACTTTCCTCACACTGTGACAGCGTGAGGAAAGTGCTGCCGATTACCGGCAACTGTATTTACATTGTGCTCTGCTGTGTCATTGGACACAGCTGATCACGTGGTCAAAGGCCGCTGTGATTGACCTTGTACCTCATCATGTGATCAGCTGTGTCTGTAGGACACAGCGATCACAGAGAGCGCCGGGTGCGCTCCGCTGGGGGCACACGGGAGGGCGCGTTCTGGGAGGACTTCATATGACGCCCCCCAGAACTGGACAACCGCGCTGTACCCGTCATTTAGCAATAACGCGATTGGCAAGTGGGTAAACTGGGTATGCTCAACCTCAAGTATGCCTGTAATATTGTGGCCTAATAATGTACAGTCATAGCCAAAAACATTGTCAGATAATGCACCACATTGCCCAGAAAATTGTTGCAATTACAAATGTTTAGGCATTCTCATGTTTATTTCCTTTGTTTGTATTGGTATAACACAAAAAAGTGGAGAAACAAAAAGCCAAATCTGACACATTCCACACACAACTCAAAATGAACTGGACAAAATTATTATTATTATTAAATTGTAAGAAATAATAGCATTCCAAGTTTGTGATGCTCCTGCAATTTGTAATTAAACTCACCTGTATCAATAAGCAGGTGCTGACAATAAAGAAATCACACCAGCAACCAGCTAAAATGATGAAAAATTGACTGAACCTTTCTGCTGTGTGTCTCTGTGTGCCACATGGAGCATGGAGAACAGAAAGAGCAGCAGAGAATTAATTGAGGATTTGAAAACAAAATTTTTGGAAAAGCATGGACAATCTCAAGCTTACAAGTCCATCTCCAGAGATCTTAATGTTCCTTTGTCTACTTTGCGCAACATTGCCAAGAAATGTGCAGCCCATGGCACTGTGGCTAATCTCCCTGGACCTTCAGGCACAGAGTACAACTGTGTCAGCTCACACTATACGTTGGCATATGAATTCAAAGGGATGCTTGCGGAAGCCAAAATCATTTTGGGAGAATGTGCTGTGGACAGAGGAAACAGAATTACAGAATTTTTGGTACAGCCCATCATTCGACTGCTTTCAGATACAGCAATCAGGCCTTGAAAGAAAAGAATACAGTCCCTATAGTCAAACATGATGGGTTTCACTGATGATTTTGGGTTGTTTTGCTGCTTCAGGCATTGAATGTCTTGTCCGTGTGCATGGCATTATGAAATCTGAAGACTACAGAAACATTCTGGGGTGCAACGTAGAGCCCAATGTCAGAAAGTTGGGTCTCTGTCAAAGGTCATAGGACAATGACCCAAAGCACATGTCAAATAGAACCAAGAAATGGTTTCAGGCAAAGCGCCGCAGAGTATTGAACTGGCCAGCAATGAGTGCAGATCTCAATACCATAGAGCACCTGTGGAGCGATCTTAAAATAGCAGTTGGGAAAAAGCACTCTTCCAATCTGTGAGACCTGGAGCAGTTGGCGAAAGAAGAGTGGTCCAAAATTCCAGTAGAGTTGTGTAAGAAACTCATTGATGGTTACAGGAAGTGATTGATATCAGTTATTTTTTCTAAGGGGTGTGCTATCAAATATTAACCACTTGCCTACCAGGCACTTGTACCCCCTTATTTACCAGGCCAATTTTCAGCTTTCAGCGCTGCCGCACTTTGATTGACAATTGCGCGGTCATGCAACATTGTACCCATATGAAATTTTGATCATTTTTTTCTCACAAATAGAGCTTTCTTTTGGTGGTATTTAATCGCCACTGGGCGCTTTACTTTTTGCGCTATAAATAAAAAAAGAGCAAAAAATTAAAAAAAAAAAAAAAAGTTTCTTTGTTTCTATTATAAAATTTTTCAAACAGGTATTTTTTCTCCTTCACTGATGTGCGTTGATGAGGCAGCACTGATGGGCACTGATAGGCAGCACTAAAGGGCACTAATAGGCAGTACTAATGAGGTGGCACGGATAGGCGGCACTGATAGACAGCACTAATGAGGTGTCACGGATAGGCGGCACTAATATGCAGCACTGATAGGCGGCACTGATAGGTGACACTGATGATGGGTACTGATAGACGGCACTGACTGGCATCACTGCTGGGCACTGACTGGCGGCACTGACTGGCACAACCCCTGGGCACTGACTGGTGGCACTGACTGGCAGCACTGCTGGGCTGCACTGGTGGGTGGCACTGGTGGGCAGCACTGGTGGGTGGGCACAGGTGGGTGGCACTGGTGGGCACAGGTGGGTGGGCACAGGTAGGTGGCACTTGTGGGCACAGGTAGGTGGCACAGGTAGGTGGCACTTCTGGGCACAGGTAGGTGGCACTGCAGAGTGACACAGGTGGGTGCACTGCTGGGCACAGGTGGGTGCATGCTGGGCACAGGTGGGTGATCTGCTGGGCACAGGTGGGCGGAGCTAGTGGGCGCACTGCTGGGCACAGGTGGGCGGAACTTGCGGGTGGCACTGCTGGGCACCGATCATCAGGGCACTGATCATCAGTGCCGATCCCCCCCACTCTGACAACTGCCGGTTCTCGGCAGTACTTTCCTCACGATCTGACAGCGTGAGGAAAGTGCAGCCGAGAACCGGCACTTGCATTTCCCTCTGATCAGCGTGTCATTGGACACCGCTGATCACGTGTCCGTAGGACACAGCGATCACGGAGATCGCTGGGTGCGTGCCCCCTGGGGCGCGCAGGAGAGCGCGTTCTGGGAGGACGTCATATGACGTCCACTCAGAACTGGCCGGCCGCAGTGCAGCCGTCATTCGGCTATCTGCGGTCGGCAGCTAGTTAAATTGAGGGTGCCAATAATTTTGTCCAGTCCATTTTTGCTGTTTTGCATGGAATGTGTCAGATTTGGCTTTTGTTTCTCTGCTTTTTTGTGTCATACCAATACAAACAAAAGAAAAAAAAAAACATGTGAATGCCTAAACATTTGTAATTTCAACAATTTTCTTGGCGAAGTGGTGACAAAAATGCAGGGGTGCCAAAATTTTTTGGCCATTACTGTAGATGTCACAATTCTAAAGAATGGCAGTTATTATGTATGTAGTTGTATTACTGCATTTTATATTATTTACTTTAGGTTAATCCTAAAGCAGTGTTAATTTTTACATCAAATTTGGACTTACTTTTAGTCATGGGGTTGATTTACTAAAATTGGATAGTGCAACATTTGGTGCAGCTGTGCATGGTAGCCAATCAACTTCTAACTTCAGCTTGTTATTTAATTAAGCTTTGACCATAAAAACCTGGAAGCTGATTGGTTTCTCTGCAGAGCTACAGCAGATTTTTCACTCTCTAGTTTTAGTATATCAACTCCATAGTCTTTTGGCTAAAATGCCATTTTAGTTTTAGTCATATTTTAGCCAACTGAATTCTTTTAGTTTAATTATATTTTAGTCAACTAAAATCTCCAGTATCTTAAACAAACAAAAATATTACTTTTTGACAAACAGAAGTGCAACTTTAAAATATAAAAAATTGTAAACTCTATTGGCTGGAATGCAATTGCACATATTACCTGAATATAAAAACTTTAATAGTTCTTTGTTAATAATGAAAACAAGTATATGAAAACAACTTTATGAATAAGTTTCATAAACAAACAAGCATATTTTTTTGACCACTGTTAATTTTGATGTTATTTGTCTAAAAGGCCATTTTAGCTTTAGACATATTTTGGTCATCTGAATGGAAACTGAATTTTATTTTCATTTAGTTTTTGTCACTGAAAACATGGACCTGCTGAAAACTATGATAAAAATATTTTTGTCAACAAAATTAACACTGTTCTATAGAACCATTCACATCAATTACCTTCTTGGTCACGCTTACTATATATACATATTGCTGCCATCACAGTTACCAAAACACTTAAGAGAGCCTTTCATCATATCTTTCTCCTTTCACCAAATATAATTCCTTGGTTATAATTATTCTGTGGATCTCAGTACTGCATTAAGGAGCATAACTCGGTGCTGTAGCACTCCCTGTCAGACTCTAAAAGAGGAATTTAACTCTGATGGAGTCATTCAAATATTTTGCTTCCTTTACATAGCTCCAGTAGAAGAAGCTGCATAGTACAAGCTCGTCTATGCTTTAGTTACGTTCACTATTGACAATTTTTGCAGTACTTAACAGTATCCATACTACTCTATAAATCATTATGCATATAGAATAAATTATTCTCTGTTCCATTGTCATTTTACAACAATAAGATTTCATTTTTAGATTTTGCAGTTTTTTTGCACGCAAAGAAAATAGAGCTACTGAAAAGGTTTCTTCTTGTTTGGACCAAGGCCAAGTGTAAGGAACTATATAACTATAATACATTAATGATGTAATATATTTAAATAGAGATTTAATTATTTGGAGTAAAGTATTTGCAATAGGCACTTTAGGGAGGTATATGTGTTTATTCCTAGGCTAGGTGTTTATTCCTTCATAAAAGCAGTATAAGTGTGTATGTGACTTTATCTTTTCATCAAAACATTTAGTGGAATAGGAGTACATTCTATGGTAATCCATCTTTCAAGAAAATCATTTCCAGGTCACTGCTTAGTGCTGTATCTGTCATTTACCATTTTGCCATAGAAAGGCATTTTTTTTTCCTGTTGTCTACATTTCCAAATGACAAGTGCTGACTCAAAATAGATCTCACTGCAACCACTATTGTCATTTTTACAGGTACCAGTAAAGATAGTATGAATATCAAAAATATAAAAACTATATTTACAACTTTCAGCAGCGATGCCAAATTGTCACCATATTATATGTCACTGCTTACCATCTGTGATGCTGTTATTAAAAAAGATGTTTTTGCATTTTAAATGTTTAATAGGAATTTAATAAACTTTCAGTCTGAGATTATAAGTCCCTAAATATTAGAGTTTCTTTGAAAATGCTGCAGGAGTGAGCTTGTTTAATTGTCAAATTGAAAGTTTGGAGTTTAACACGTTCCCACCCAGCCTATAGCATATTGACAGGTGGGTGGGCCACTCACCATTGTGACTGGGCGTCATATGATGTCCTGTCAAAATGAGCCGCTCACGTGGCCGCGTGACCGTCCAGTGGCGTGATCTGTCACGGGACACAGCCGACATATCACTACACCGGCCAGTTGCCAGTGTCATGTGACCAATCACAGCAGATCACATGTCAGTTGTGTACAATGGATGGCTTCCTGCCATGCCATCCATTGTATACAATTATGTATCTGTATCATGTGATCAGCTTTGCCCAATCACAGCTAATCACGACAAAAGGTCGCAGTGTGCTGAAAAATAAAATAGTAAAAAAAAAAAACATTTTATAAAAAAAAAAAAATACAGATTCAATTATTATTATTATTATCAATAAAAAAATGTAGAAGAATACATTTTGACCTAAATTTATGAAGAAATGTTATTTATTTGCAAAATATAAATAAAATATAACAGAAACGAAGAAAAGTGCATTTTCTTTTCAAAAGTGTCAGGTGTTTTTTGTTGTATTTAGCAAAAAATAAAAAAAAACTCAGTGGTGATTAAATACCACAAAAAAAAGAAAGCTCTATTTATGTGCAAAAAATTATAAAAATGTCATATTGGTGCAGTGTTGCATGACCACACAATTGTCATTCAAAGTGCGACAGTGCTGAAAGCTGAAAATTGGCCTGGGCGGGAAGGGGGTATAAGTGCCCGGTACTGAAGTGGTTAAAGCAGAACTCCATGCAAAATAGTTTTAGTAAAATGTGCCATGTAACAAATAATTCCCATGAGGTGTTCATTGCCTCCTCATCCTACATCATTGCAATCTTTTTTATTATGCAGTTTCATTGATACTGAATAGTATAGATTTCACTATACTTTTGGTATTTTAACTGTGAGAGATGTGACTCTCATGCGCAGAGGTTGTTGTTTATTCACCCCTGCAGATAAACAGTATTACAGCTTTTGTGTACAAGAGCCATAGCTCTTATAGACACAGCGCCAAAAGTATCGCAAAAGCTATACTATCCAGCATAAAGGAAACTTTAATTAAAAAATAAAAAACAGGGCAGCGATCCTGGAGGTAGCATATTCTGTACATACATTTTGCCTGAAGTTATGCTTTAAGTGAGACCCTTTACTGACTCTTTATTGACTAATGTAGGTTATCAAAGATGCACGTTTTTGGGATACCTTAGATACTAAAGGAATAGTATAAAGCTTGAATTTGGCATCTTGATGGCTAATAGCCAGTAAAGGGTATCATTTAAACTACACATGTTCTGCATTATTGACTGTCAAATACCTCTTACTGCTCAAATGGGAACAGATAGGTAAACATGGAATGTTAAGTTGAATGTATTTAGCATAGAAAAATATTTTAAGTTCAATATGTCTGTAATGGCTCATTGTGCATTCAGGAGAAACATTGATGGGTAGGAAGCATTTATTGCAGAAGAGATCTATGAAAGGCTTCTGGCCAGCAATTTTTCTTTTTAACCACCTCACCTCCCTGCCATTTTTCAGCTTTCAGCACTGTTACACTTTTGAATGACAATTATTTAGACATGTAACACTGGAACCATATGACATTTTTATCATTTTTTTTTAAGACAGCTAGAACTTTCTTTTGGTGGTGTTTAATTAGCACTAGTTGTTTTTTATTTTTTGCCATATGAGTGAAAAAAATACTTAGAAGTTTGAAAAAACATGTTTTTCATAGTTTCTGTTATAAAAGATTCTAAATAAATAATCTTTCTTCATAAATTTAGATCAAAATATATTATTATGCTACATTTATTTGGTAAAAATAGCCCAAATCAGTGTATATAACTTAGTCTGTGAAAATTATAGGTTATACAAACCATGGTAGTTACATTGGAAAATTAATCAGTTCTGATGTACTGACTGCCTGTCTCATTTCGCCTAAAATGCCAGAACAGTACAAATACTTAATCCAGGGGTCCAAATGACCCCTTTTTTGGAAAGTAGACAGTCCAGAGTACTGAGTAAGAGGCATGGTGAGTTTTTTGAAGTTGTAATTTTTTTTTTGTCATTTTTTTTTTCATTTGGAATCTAAATAAATTTATTTTCAAGTTGTAATTTTAACATCTTTTTCTCACACACAGCATAGGCTTGCTTATAAATGCACCCCAAAACACATTCTTCAATGCTTCCCTAATATTGGGATAACAAATGTGTGAGACTTTCTTACAGCCTAGATGCATAGAGGAGCCTAAAATCCAAGGAGCATAAATTAGACATCTAATTTCCTGACTATCACATACCTGATCTATCACATTTTAGAGGCCCTGGAACATCAGAACAGTTGAAACATCCACAAATTGACCCCATTTTGGAAAGCAAACATTCCAATGTGATTTCTGAAGGGTATAATGAGTCTTTTGAAAATCTCCTTTTTTTGACACCCATTTTTTAGAAAATGCAGGAAACACGTTTTTCAAAGTCTAGCCAGATTGAGAGGCCCAAAACCGAAAAAACACCTTCAGGTGTTCAAGGGCATAAAATATGCATGTAATTTCCTGACCACCTATTACATTTTTGGAGGCCCTGGAGCACCAGGACAGTAGAAACACCCACAAAATTACCACATTTTGTAAAGCAACACCCCATGGTATTTTCTAAGAGGTGTACAGAGTCTTTTGACATCTTTGTTTTTTTGTCACAAGTTTTTGAAAAATGCAGAAAGAAAATGAAAATTTTTACAGTTGTCAATTTCATAAGATATTTCTCACACATAGCATGGACATTCTTAAAATTACAACCTAAAACACATACTGCTTCTCCTCCTGAGTATGGCACTACCACATATGTGGGACTTTATTACTTTTTGGACTGATTATATACTGGGCATTGTATCTTGTGTATCACACAAATCAACCAATTGTATCAAAACCAAAGTACTGTAATGGTGATCAGGGAATATAAAGCTTAATGTAGTGTCATTTACAACAGTTCCAGTTCCTACAAATCAAGCAAGCCTAGCCTACTGGCACATGGTGGACCCCTAGAATGCCATGCTCAGTGGCCAGGAAGGAAGTATGGGAGGCTAAAGAAAGAAAGAACATAAGAGTTCCTGTGGTTTCAGGAGTGCAACTGTCCACAGGGGATGGCTGGGATTGGTGTCTCTCAGAAATATAATCAGTCGGACATGCAGATGGCTCAGTTCGGGCCACGGACAGAGACATGGTTAGCAAACAGGCAAAGTATTGGTCTAGGCAACAGGCAGAAATGTGGTAAATAAACAAACCAAGGTTAGTACAGGTGGCAGGCAGAGACAACACTGCATTGGTGCGGTGGTGGGGATCAGTAACATTCTTGCTGGCTTACACTGGTGTGTTGACACTGGGATTGGTGTGGCAGTGATCAGTCACAGTATAAATAGTGTGTTGGTGATCAAGGACACTCAAAACTGGTGTGGCAGTGATTATGGACAATATGACCGGTGTGGCGGTGATCAGGGACTCTGGGACTGGTGTGCCAGTGATTAGGGACTCTGTGACTGGTGCAGTGGTGATCAGGGACAATGTGAGTGGACAACAGGGATTAGACACACTGGTCTGGTGTCATTGTACTGCTGTGGTGGTGATTAGAGACAATGGCTGGCGGCACTGACCTACGGTGATATCAGACTAGCCATTGTACATGATCACCCCACAGCAGTACAATGTCATCATAGTGACACTGCACTTGCACTGGTGACAGTATGTAAGGCTGTTTGTTTGTTTTTTTATACTTCTTTTTACAAATTTTTCAACAATTTGTTTGCCAATTTTTCATCACAGTATAAGTTATCACTTCTATCTGTGTTTGGCATCCATTCATGATACCATTGTTAATTTCTATGATTGCTGTGATTGGCCATGGCTATTACATGGTACAGGGCCACTGTGATTGACCCTGTACCCTGTGGTCACACTGACAAATCATTATGAATGAAAGCCATTGTTTACAAGTGGACATGTGATTGCTGTGATTGGTCACAGCAATCGCATGGTACCAGGGTACAGTAGCCCCCTACTTTGATCATACGAGTACATCCTCCCAGAATTATGCTTGTCCCACCAGGCCTGTCCAGATGAGAAGCAGTTAACACTACAGTTGGCCATTCATGGTTCAGTTTTTTGTTCAGCACAATCAAGCGGCTTTAGTCTGTCAGAAAGGTTAAACAGAAGCTGATTGGTAGATCAACTTCAGTTCAACTGCAATGGCCACATTTGGATCGAGATTTGGCCATTTCCTACTGAACTGGCTGAATTTCAATAAATGTATGGCCAGCTTAAGGATCTATTTTAGGACTTTGTAAATGGTTTGTGAATATTCATAAAATTAAGATTCTGGTGGACAAATTTATTTATTCATTACCTTTTTTCATTTTAAATAGGGGAATTCCTGGAAAGAACTGTGGAACCATCATTGTCACTGCTGAGGAGCTGAACAATTGCCGAGTAAGTAACCTGTATTTCATTCACATGTTTCCAGTGATTGACACGTAGTAGACATCATGCCTATCTAGCTAATACACACAGCCTTACCTAAAGGTGAGTAGTAGAAGATGGTAAGCCACATACTGTAAATTACATGTATTGCAGCCCTGATTTCACTGCAAAGACACCAGTCTGTACACCACTTTCCCATTCCTTACTCCACCTGTAAAAGTGGATAATACAGAAAACATTACTACCTAATACAAAAGAAAACAGAATGTCAGTTCTACTCACTGCACTGAGAGAAACATTGAATTTCCACAGAGCAACACACCAACTTACAATCTGCAGTTCCTGAGTCCTAGGTGGGAATTTATTGTGCAGAAGGGGTGGGCTCTGCAGTAGCTCATTCCCATCCAGATTAAATTGAATATAGCGGCTGTGTGAACCACATAAGACCTAGTAATTACATGCCCAGGGGACATGTCAAATACTGTCTTAATTTGACCGTGCACTAGTAGATTTTCAACAAATGTTCATAAAAAAAAATTCTCACATTCAGGGACTTGGTGAATGCCATTCAAAAGTATTTCAACATTTTGCTTGCTTTTAACATTCAGTTTTGGGATGAATATACTTTCCTGAACAAAAACCACATACACTGCTAAAAATTTTTAATTGGATAAAAGTTTTCCATCCTGCTCCTTTGACTTTTCTTGGAACTATGGTAAAAAGCGAATGCCGATTTGACCCCACTAATGATTCAAAAATCAAACAAACATTCATTAAAAGAAAAATTTTTAACAAACGTTTACTAGTGTGTAGCAAACTTTAGGCATTCAAAGATCTTGAAAATGTACCCGCTGAAATGCCCTTTAATGAAAACCCAGAGATACACAGTAGGGATGGGAAAGGGAGACATTTTTTCACCTAATACCAGAGGCAATTGGCACAGAAACAGATGAGGCTGGACTTCTGTGTTAGTTAGATCTGAGTAATCAGATAAAGAAAATTCTGTTTGGTTCATATATGCAGCTTGTCTTTGCACATTGCTCTATGTCTTATTTAGTAAGGTTCTGAAAGGCTTTTTTAAAAATGTAGCAATGATGTGAAATGTTAAATCTATTTAAAGTAAGCATGCAAAATAAAGAAAATGTTATTGTTTTACATTCTATTACACGTTATACTGTATATTGCAGACTTCCTTATAAATAGGCTTGTATGCATGTGCGAGAAACTAGCAGTTTTGCTTACAGTAGAACAACAAAGGTTTAGTAAAGCTAAACGCACTCTGAAAAAGGAAGTAACTTGTAATTCCTTTTGTGATCATCTCTGATTGGCCTCCATGGCCAATGGTAGGGCTACGTATGGACCCAGAACACTGTCCTGCACACTTGCTGAGTGATTGCGACAGACCCAATTAAAATAAAGAACAGTGGCATCCCATCTGCTGTCTCTGTCCCATTAAGGAGACTTGCCATCACTTCCAGTTCCCAAGGCACAAGAGTGAGAACAAAACTCCAACATATTCACTAGAACAGGTGTCTTCATCAGAAATGTTCCCCTCATCTCCTCATCCTTTTTCCTGTAACAGCACTGACTTCAGTGACATTTTTGGTCCCTGAGGCAATGGTCAGCAGGACAAATAGAGAAAGTGAACCTGACCAGTAGATCTTACCAGAGCAAATCTGACAGACCACTTTGCTTTTCTTCACTCTTTCCAAAAAAAAAAGATGGCTACAGATACTCTTTGAGGTTTCTCTTTCACGGTCTGCCCCATATCCAAAATAGGAAGTGAGAGGAAATCCTTCCAAAGGAAGAGAATCCATGGTTGTCACCACGGTCACGTGAACTAGTGTTCCTATTTGAAAACTTCTTGTCTATTCCTGGTCTGGCAACAAACCAAAGTTTGGGATTTCTTTTACTTTTATTCTCGATTAAACATTAAACAGGTCAAATAGAGATGGTGAATCTTCCTGACAGAGACACAGACAGCAATGAAGACCTAACAGATGCTACAGTATAATCCCAATCCGCTCTACAAAACTAAAAAATAAAAAGTTTTGCCTTTAGTACTACTTTAATAGCACCTAAAGTCATATGAATTACTGCAATAAAAAATATAGTTAAATTAATGGATTTAACAAAATAAAAAAAACATTTACAACAAATCGTATTCAGTGTGCCACTATTTGTGCCATTTATTTTTAAGGTATGTTTAGAAACATTATTTTTAGGAAGTTATGAATGAAAGAAGGAACTACTGATAAATGACTGGGTTGGAGGGAAATTCAGTTTGCTTTATTATGCTTCAGCTCCAGAGGGATGTGTCAGAGCAGCTGTACAGTATAATATATGAGAATAACTTGAGACATTTTTTGTCTACTTTCTTTGCAATTTTTTTTTCATTTTCCATTTGAGAGGCCTTTTTCAGCTAAAATCCCAAGGTAAAAGACCCAAAAGGATCTCTTTTGTATCAAACAGTCAAGTGAGGATTTCTTTCTAAGGCAGTTCCAAAATATTTGTTCATTTATCTAAATTTTTAGTTTTCAAATATGAAATGTGAAATGAAACCTAAAGTGTACATATATATATATATATATATATATATATATATGTGTGTATAAAACAAATTAGATTTAAATTAATTGTAAATCTTAGGGGTCTATACATAAAGGACTCGTTATTTATGGTTGTTTGCTGGACATTTCCCTATCTGTATATTATGGCATTTGTTTTCGGAGCTTATACAAACCATATGAATACAGTGCTATATAACTAATCTACGTGCAATATAAATACCCTCAGTCCCAAGCTACTGCAGAACCACCAGGATGAGAAAGAATTCATGAACATATAAATACAGTGCTACAAAATATTAAATAACAAAAAAGTCAAAAAGCAATCTCAGAAATAACATAACATACAAGAAATATAATCCAACACAATCCATGTGGTCCAGTGCATATACACCAACTCTAATGGTGTCAATCCATACAGTACAACTAAAACGCTTCAATCTGTGCTCAAAATGGTGAGTATTGACTCTGCCACCTAAGTGAAGGATTGACCCCCTATGGGCCAACCTCACTGATGTGACCTCGAAGTTTAATAAGGAGGTCAATAAGCACTTTATTCAAGAAATGTAAGCCTCAAGTAGTCTGGTATGTGCTCCTCCTCTTACACACCAGACATACTACAACCAGTATCAAATGTTAAACAGGAGAGAGTCCTTCATAGTATAGATGGAATTTTCATTAAAAAGGAGTAAAAGTTACATTAGAAAAACTCACTTATTAAAAGTGGTAACTCAGCAGTATAGGGTCAATTCCTGCTTGGTAATAGTGGGAGCTGCACACCACACCTTTTTCCCCACTTGATTCGAACAAGACTCACCCATTGTCAGTCCCATAAAACAGAATAAAGACATTCCAATAAAGAACAAAAATCACATTTATATGCAAACAATATTTGCCCATCGGCAACATTACACACAGGATGAGATCTTTTTAAAAGTGAATGCCAAAAAATACAGACAGACAAATGTCTGGCAAATATTAGCTATACACAATGCTCAACAAATCCTCTATAAATAGACCCCTGAATAGTTCAAAGCAGGCAGTAAATTTATTTTTAAGTTAAAAAAAAAAAATCTAAAACCAACATGTGAAATCATTTGATTTTGCATAATTATTATTATCGGTCAATTTTGAAAAAAAAAAAATACTTTCCTTACTAGAGGTGAAATTGCCCCTGTGAAAATGGTATGCCCTTTTTAAAATACCGTTTGATACATCTTATTAATTTTATGGATTTTATGAAGATGTTTCATACTTCCAATTTGTTTTACTCCTAGAAGGTGCAAATTAAAGAATGGAAATGTTGATCTATTGTAAGCAAAAGGACCAATTTTAGATGTTTACCCCATTTAAACTGGAACATTTTCAGTGGAGCACATGAAAAGACACCAGTGAGATGACCAGAGCTTGTACTTTTCATAATTTCTATGAGAGTTTTCAACTGGCTTTCTTAACAGAAGACCTCTTCATTTAGATTCTATTCACACTGACCATTTTATTACAAATATGAGTTTATGTTATGCAGAACTCAACAAACAGGATGACTTCACAAATGGAAATAGCCTATAATTAAGGTTAACTTTTCCATTCCTCGAGTCTTTAAACAAAGTCATCGTCATATTCTTCTCCATCAGTGACTTTAAATGTTTCTTTTCCCCTCAACCAATCCAAGCAGGCTAAACTTATAATTATTAATAATTACTGCAAATTTAGTCCAATTTAGTCCAAATGATTGACTAATGTCAACATCTAAGCTGTCATTTCCATTTCTACCTGCTCCCTCTCATTGCTGATGTATGCAGCAAGAACTGACAGATGGCTGTAACAGGGAGGGCTGAGTGGTCTTTGACATACAGGCTGTATCAGCATGGTTTAACACTATCTATGTTGTGCAGCTGGCAAGATGGCAGCACTCAATGGGGAATAACTTGGTTTTTGGTGAAAGTGAGTAAAGTTAACCAAATACAATTCCCAACTGTGGACTATTTCGACCAGTGAACTTTAAACATTCTAACTAGCTGTTATAACCTTACACTGGGAAAGCCAATTATAGGTGCTATTACATGATGTACATGTTTTATTTGGTTCAATGCTACAGCTCAGCAAAATCAGGCAAGCTAGTATGTGCATGTCTAATTCTGTTTTAATAATATTTTTTTAGGATGCTGTGTTAATGCAGTTTTGTGCCAATAAACTTGACAAGAAAGACTTTTTTGGAAAATCTGACCCCTTTCTAGTGTTTTTCAGAAGCAATGAGGATGGCAGGTAAGTTATTTAATATGTGCTGCTAGTGTTCAAGCTTCACTGCATCTTAATTTAGAATCCTGTCAAAGAGTCTGAAAAACGATGTGCTCTCTGGGCATTGCCAGGATTTAGGAATAACTAATAAAGCCAGAAATGTTCTTTAACCAGTTGTTGACCATGGGCATAATGCACATGTCCAAAAAAAACTAGAAACTTAAAAACTTACTTCAAAGCAAAGTACACAGGGTGTGTTTAGTATAAACATTCCCTCCACCCTGCTGCTGCAACCCTCTCTGTATTTGCTAGCGATTCTCAACTCTACAAATTACAGCTGGAATTTGCTGCTTAAAGTGGAACTTTACCAATAACAATTTGATAACAATTAATGTTTTTTTAACAAAAAGGACATACATTCCACATTAATAATTATGCTACAAAAAATTTAGCATGTGCTGTATATTGTCTACAGCATTGTTTCTGTTTCTTCTTGCTGGAAGCTGCCATTTTGTTGAAGCCCAGAGCAACCACTACCTTATCCCCCTCTCCTTGGTCTCAAAATTATATATCAGCGTCTTCAATTAAAATATGTACATTTCCAGCCTTGATTGTAAATATTGGCTCAGATAGAGACAAAGGCTGACAGAAGCTTTAAACCTTGTAGACACGTTCAGAAAATCGTACGCAAAAATACCACTTTTGAGGCGATCATACGATAATCTGATCACTAGTACACAGCCTTCACCCAAAATTACTTGAAGGGACAAGAACGAAAATGTTTCTCATACGATAGCAGATCGTACGATTTTTGTTTAACCAGTACAGTTTTGGCCGAAAATATAATACAAATATATTACATCACTTCTGAATTTTTATTCTGTACAACAGTTGTAACTTTTAGTAACCTCTTTACTTTCGATATGAGACTAGCATGCAAAAAAAAACAAAAAAACGGATCATTCATCTGATATTCTCATTGTGTGTATGGGGCTTTACAGTGCTAAGGTTCACAAGCCATGAGGGTGAAAGGAGAGAGAATCAGGGAGATAAGTTAAGACCAGGGGCGGACTGACAATTCATGGGGCCCCCGGGCAATAGGGGATCATGCGGCCCCTGTGTCCTTGCCCAAACTCAAAAAATCCTATGATAAAGGTACCAGGGGCATCTCATGGGGCCCCCTACTGACCCCGGGCCCTTGGGCAGCGCCCGAGTTTCCAAATGGTCAGTCCACCAGTGGTTAAGACACTATCCTTGCAAGTGTAACTCTTTCGTGTCTCCCTGGCAGTAGAATGTGTTCTGTCACCTGTTCTGCATTTCTTTTCTCCCTCCCTAATCTGTGTTCCCACTGCACAGTCAGTGTCAATACTGTTACTTTTCTCCCCTTTCAGCAACAGTAAATCAGTAAATCAGATGACTTGCGCTTATGGCTCTGATTTTAGGCACAGTTATTCTTAGGCAAGAATAATAGCAAGTTCTCCATAGCTATAACTGCAAAAGGGACCAGCCTGGAGTGATCTATTAGGACTTTTTCTGACTACAGTAAAGTTCCACTGTAAGTACAGCAGCTATTTCAGCTGTTTCTGTCAAAAACAGACCCTCTGACATAGACCCTCTGACATGCACTCCCAGCACAGAGACCAGAGTCTCACTTAAAGCCCTTGGTCCCTTTCTAATGATCAGGACCCGGAACTCCCGATTCCAGGTCACGTGATCGCAGTGATAGCCTCTGATTGGCTATCACAGTGATCAATCACTGTGAAGCCCGCCCCCATGTTTTCTCTCTCTGAGTGGAGGAGGGAGATACATTGTATCTCTCTGTCCTTTCAGAGAGGAAAAAAAAGTGTGTGTAAAAATAAATAAATAATAATTAAAAAATAAAATAAATTAAAAAAATACCTAGATCAAGGTTTGTGTTTGGGTCAGGGTCAGGGTCAAAGGTCAAGGTCAGGGGCATAGGTAAGGGTCAAGGGTCAGGATCAGTATTTTCGTTTTCTTGGTCAGGATTTTTTTTAAATTAGTATCAGTGTCAGTTAGTGGCAGGATAAAAAAATAACCACAAATTATTTGGTGGTAGATTATGGTAGTAGCAAGAAATATACAGCTAAATTAAAAATAAAAAGAAATCTACTATTGTGGATATTGTGCACCAATTTTCCTTTGATAGTGTCAAGGTCCTACCTTTTTCCTGAGGTTTTGTTACTCCATGTGCTGGCGTCCATCTTGGATTCTGCTGTGCATGGTGGGAATCCTTTTATGCCTTCAGGTCTCTGAGGTCCATCCCCCAGAGGGGTGTGGCTGATGACATATAAGCCTGTGGTCCACACATGCTCTTTGCACTTGTGTCTTGTGTCTTTGTGTTGCTATTACTCTGTTCTGACTCTTGTGACTATCCTGGTATCTGATTTGGCTTGTGACTCGACTATTCTTTGTATTCTCCTTTGATCTGACCCTCTGTTGCTGAACCCGGCTCGTGACCTGTGATTCTCGTCTGCTGTCCTGTACTGTTTTGTCCTGTTGTTGTTGACCCGGCCTGTCTGACTACTCTTTTGTCTCTTCCACCAGCTACACGCCATTGGCGGCGGCCATTACCGCAGCTGAGGTGTCTCGGGGGCCGCGACCTGGTTCCTGGCTGCGTCAAGTCCATCCCCACCATCAGGGGCCCTGGTGAAGGGCAGCCTGGGACTTAGACTCCGCGCCCTGAGGGACTTCAGTCTGTGGGTGGTGGTTGTCGTCAAGCCAGTGCGTTACATTGTTAGGCCTGCCTGTCCGTTCCTCGGCCCCTGCCCTGACAGATAGCAATAATAATGAAAACAATCGGGACATATTCATTACTGTTTTACTATTTACCACTAAATGAAAGCCCAATTTGTCCTGAAAAAAGCAAGGTATAATCCACCTGGATGTACAAAGTAGTTCTGATGATCTGTACAGTTGTGCTAACACATGTCAAAGTTGCAAAATTGTGCTTAGGCATTAAGATTTGTTTTACCCATAGGAGAGAAGGGGTTAAGATTGTCAATGTAAAGTCATGTGCTAGTAGTAATGAAATAAAAATCCAAATGAATGTACTGTAAGTGGGATCTGGTAGGAATGTGTTTTCCCTATTTGAGACTCAGTTGCCCAGGGCATTTCTATGGGCTACATTAGCTGTGTGAAAACTAGAACATAATAGACATACAGGGGGGTTATTTACTAAAGCTGGAGAGTGCAAAATCAGGTGCAGCTCTGCATAGAAACCAATCTGCTTCTAGATTGTATTGCCAAAGATTAACTGAGCAAAGCTGAAGTTAGAAGCTGACTGGTTACCATGCACAGCTGCACTAGATTTTGAGTGCGTCAGTTTTAGTAAATCTACCCCGTAGTATGTTTTTTTCCCAACCTAAGGAACTGTGTAACTACGAGTTTCCCGTTTAATTGCGCCAGTTTAAATTAACAACCAATTTCTCATTATTTGCTTGAACAATATTTCCAAACACTATTTTTCTGAAAGGACTGTGCAGAAAATTTTTAGCATCCAGTTTGGTTTCTGCACCCATTACTCCCAGACATTTCCACTTTGATGTTTCCACAGCCGGACACTGATTATTACAGGATTGTCGCAATGTTTATGATATGTTACGTAATCCTGACTGCTGCACACTGTAAGCTGTGCTGTATGTTGCACACTCGTGACTGCTGCACTCCTAATATATAGAGTGCAAAACTCTGGAGTACTTCACACACAGCACAGAGTGATAACATTCAGGAAAATATTACCCCAGTAAAGCGTCCCCCCTTCTTTCTTCTAGCAAAACACACCTCCTCCTCTCCCCCCCCCCTGCAAAATCCTCACTCCAAAGGCAATCCCTCCTAAAATCCACTACTCACTGCCCCATGGACTTCATGTCCACCATTTGTCTTCACACCTTCCTACCATTTGTCTTGACACCCTCCACACCTCTACATCATGCAAACATTGCTGCCCCCCTTCTCTGCTCCATCATGGTACATATAATGCAGCCCCTGTCACACAAACAATACTACCCCCTCACACATACAAACAATACAGCCCCTACCCCCTCACACATACAAACAATACAGCCCCCAGCCCCCTCACACATACAAACAATACAGCACCCTGCCCCCTCACACATACAAACAATACAGCCCCCTGCCCCCTCACACATACAAACAATACAGCACCCTGCCCCCTCACACATACAAACAATACAGCCCCCTGCCCCCTCACACATACAAACAATACAGCCCCCAGCCCCCTCACACATACAAACAATACAGCCCCCTGCCCCCTCACACATACAAACAATACAGCACCCTGCCCCCTCACACATACAAAAACAATACAGCCCCCTGCCCCCTCACACATACAAACAATACAGCACCCTGCCCCCTCACACATACAAACCATACAGCCCCCTACCCCTTCACACATACAAACAATACAGCCCCCTGCCCCTTCACACATACAAACAATACAGCCCCCTGCCCCCTCACACATACAAACAATACAGCCCCCTGCATCCTCACACATACAAACAATACAGCCCCCTGCCCCCTCACACATACAAACAATACAGCCCCCTACCCCCTCACACATACAAACAATACAGCCCCCTGCCCCCTCACACATACAAACAATACAGCACCCTGCCCCCTCACACATACAAACAATACAGCCCCCTGCCCCCTCACACATACAAACAATACAGCACCCTGCCCCCTCACACATACAAACCATACAGCCCCCTACCCCCTCACACATACAAACAATACAGCCCCCTACCCCTTCACACATACAAACAATACAGCCCCCTGCCCCTTCACACATACAAACAATACAGCCCCCTACCCCCTCACACATACAAACAATACAGCCCCCTACCCCTTCACACATACAAACAATACAGCCCCCTGCCCCTTCACACATACAAACAATACAGCCCCCTGCCCCCTCACACATACAAACAATACAGCCCCCTGCATCCTCAGGGGGCATCATTGTATAGAATTCCTTTGTACTGCCG